AAGATGAGGCAGTCTGCTTCAAAAAGATTTACAACCTTAGAAACCCTATGGGACAGTTCTCTATCCTATAGGATTGCTATGAGCCTGAGTCACCTTGATGGCAGTGGGTAGGTAGGTCTTGTTGAACTTAACATTGCTTCCCCATTTCACCTGTTGTAGATATCAAGCATAGCTCAGCAGCACCCCCAAAATTCTTTAAAAAAACCCTAAAATATAATACCATTATTTTCTCTGAACATTTCATTTCCCTTTATTCAGAAGTCTTATTTTGTGTTCTTTAGTCATTTTGTTATTCTCTAAATTTTTGCTATTTCTTTTTTCATGAGCATTTACAAAAAGCCCCTTTCACTACTAGAAGAGGATAAATTAGACAGAATGGTGGAAAAGACAGGAAAAGGGAGATACTAATGACAAATACAAACACACTCTAAAGGTCATATGATCAAACTGCATGAAAAGCCATGTTAAACACGGGTGTGAGTCTTCTGTAGGTGTGAGCTGCTAAATGTTAACAGTCAAATACTAACCAAACCCACTGCTATCCAATTGATTCCATCTCATAGCAACCCGACAGGGCAGAATAGAACTGTCCCATAGAGTTTCCAAAGCTACTTTATGGAAGTAGACTGCCTCATCATTCTCCTGTGGAGTGGCTCGTAGGTTTGAACCACCGACCTTCTGTTTAACATGCCAATGTTTTAACCAGAGTGCTACCAGAGCTCCTCTGTTAATAGGCAGCTTTCTAAAATATAAAATCCCTAGTTTGTAATTTTTGGTAATATCTGCCGTCTATTTTCTCCCGCCTACCACTGTAGATTTCAAACTACCAACGTTATATCAAGTGATTTACAAAAGTCATGAAAATTTGACAACTGATTTTCACAAGCTGGTGCTAATGGGTTCCAGAACACCTTTGGCTGGCGACTGTTGTCTGAAAACAGCAAATGATTTCTAGACTTATTAAGAAATAATTACTTTTCAGATGTCTATTTTACTTTGCTTTTTTTATACTGATAACCAGTTTGGTCTTTTTGATTGAATTAACCAGCAAATAATTCATTCACATTCAGCTAGTCTATTTTACAAATTTATATTTAAAAAAAAAGAGGACAATCACCTAAGGCAGAAAGAGGACATTTAAAACAAAACATTTAAAAATGAGCAGAAAAACAAAAGTTTTTAATTTTCAAGTTTTTAAATTTGAAACATCACCAAGCAAGAAGAGGCAAGGTGCAAGAAAATGCCTCTCCCTCTCTGAAGCAATAGTAAATCTGATTTTTAAAGTTGCCATAAGAAAATTGTTATTTAAATAATATATCTCCCATCCTTGCCAGCAGTGAGGCACATTTCCCTTACCAATCTGGTTCTCAGCAGGCGGTCCAGCCTGATGAAGTAACAGCAAAATGTCAGCTCCCACTGAGCAGTGTGACAGAGAGGAGACACTGAAGCAGTGACAGCCCTTACAAAAAGCTATTGTGCAAATTCAGTTTTAAAATAGGGGTGTGGTTGAGGACTGAGGGATATGTTGTTACCAGTGCATTCATGTACCCATTGTACACAGGGATGGAAGGGAGAACACTTAAAACCATTACACTGTGTAATGATGGAACTGGTTTTCAGGACTATTTGTGTTTTAAAAGTTTAATATTCAAATTGGCTGTAGTGATGGGTAATATTATGTGTCAATTTAGCTAGGTTATGATTCTCAGTGGTTTGACAGACACTCGGCTGGTTGCTTTTCCATAAGAAGAGCAATAAAATATAATATTATAATATAATCTCCTATGATGTGATCTGATGTGATAAGCCAATCTATTGAAAGGGGAGTTCTGTTGGGGGTGTGGCCTGCCTCCAGAACATAAATGGATTGCATGTTCTGGCAAGCTCTCTCTGACCCTGCACTCTTCTTGTCACCTGACCTCTGGTTCCTGGGTCATGTTGTTGTTAGGTGCTGCTGCAATGGCTCACTCATAGTGATCCAGTGCACAACGGAACAAAACACTGTCTGGTCCTGAGCCATCCTCACAATCCTTGCTATGCTTGAGGCCTTTCTTGCAGCTACTGGGTCAATCCATCTCATTGAGAGTATTTTTCTTTTTCACTGACCCTCTGTTTTACCAAGCATGATATCCTTCTTCAGGGACTGGTCCCTTCTATCAACATGGTAAAAGTAGGTGAGATGAAGTCTAGCCATTCTTGCTTCTAAGGAGTATTTAGGCTGTGTTTCTTCTAAGACAGATTCATTCATTCTTCTAGCAGCCCATGATATTTTCAGTGTTCTTCAAAAACATCACAATTCACACACATAAATTCTTCTGCAATCCTTCATATTCATTGTCCAGCTCTCAAATGCATATGAAGCAATTGAAAATGCCATGTCTTGGGTGAGGCAAACCTTAGCCTTCAAAGTGACATCTTTGGTCTTTAACACTTTGAAGAGGTCTTTTACAACAGATTTGGCCAGTGCAGTATGTCTTCTGATTTCTTGACTGCTGCTTCCATGGGCAATGATTGTGCTTCCAAGTATATGAAATGACTGACAACTTCAATCTTTTCTCCATTTTTCATGATGTTGCTTATTGATTCAGTTGTGAAGATTTTTGTTTTCTTTATGTTGAAGTATAATCCATATTGAAAGTTGCAGTCTTTGGTCTTTATCAGTAAGTGCTTCAAAATTTCTTTACTTTCAGCAAAGTTGTGTCATCTGCATATCAAAGGTTGTTAATGAGTCTCCCTCCAATCTTGATGCACATTCTTCTTCATATAGCCCAGTTTCTCAGATTACTTGCTCAGCTTAAAGATTAAATAAGAATGGTGAAAGGATATAACCCTGACGTATACCTTTCCTGATTATAAACCGTGCAGTAGCTCCTTGTCCTGTTCAAATGACTGCCTTGTGGTCTATGTACAGGTTCCTCATGAACACAACTAAGTGTTCTGAAATGCCCATTCTTCACAATGTTATCCATAATTTGTTATGATCCACACAGTTAAATGCCTTCACATAGTAAATAAAACACAAATAAACATCTTTCTAGTATTCTTTCCTTTCAGCTAAGATCCATCTGTCATTAGCCTGTCATTAGCAATTATATCCCTCATTCCACATCCTTTCTGATTTGGCTTGAATTTATGATAATTTTCTGTCAGTATACTGCTGCAACCATTTTTGAATTATCTTTAGCAAAAGTTTACTTGAGTGTAATATTAATGATATTGTTTGGTAATATCCACATTCTGTTGGATCACCTGTCTTTGGAATGGACATAAATAGCAATCTCTTCCAGTCAGTTGGGGAGGTAGCTATTTTCCAAATTTCTTGGCATAAACAAGTGAGAACCTCCACTGTTGCATCTGTTTGTTGAAACATCTTAATAGGTGTTCTATCAATTCCTGGATTTTTTTTTTCCAATTCCATCACTGCAGCTTGGACTTCTTTCTGTACCATCAGTTCTTGATCATATGCTACCTCCTGAAATGGCTGAATGTTGACCAGTTCTTTTTGTCCAGTGACTCTGTATTCCTTCCATCTTCTTTTGATGCTTCCTGTATAGTTGGATATACTGCCCATAGAATCCTTCAGTATTACAACTCTAGGCTTCAATTTTTTCTTTAGTTCTTTCAAGTTGAGAAATGCTGAGAATGTTTTTCCCTTTTGTTTTTCTAACTCCAGGTCATTGCACATTTCATTATAACACTTTACTTTGTCTTCTCGAGCCACCCACTGAAATCTTCTGTTTAGCTCTTTTACTTTATCATTTCTTTCATTCACTTTAGCTATTCTCTTGTTCAAGAGCAAGTTTCAGAGTCTCTTCTGACATTGACTATAGTCTTTTCTTCCTTTCCTGTCTTTTAGATGACTTTTTGGCTTTTTTATATATGATGTCTTTGATGTCATCCCACAGCTTGTCTGGTCTTCGATTGTTGGTGACATAAGCCTGTAGAAATCCCCAGAGTGCTGCCTGACTTGCAGATTTCGGATTTGACCAGCCCCACAACCCCATGAGCCAGCAGAGGCCTCTAGCCTGACACCTTTCCTACAGATCTGGTACTTGCCAGCCCCCACAATTGTGTGAGCCATTTCTTTGAATTAAATCTCCCTATATATAATGTATCTATCTACGTCTCACTGGTTTACCTTCTCTAGAGAATCCATCTATGACAGCTGCTATTTTTAAACACAGACCTCTTCAGAAGGACCCAATAGTCACCCTTTTGCCTGTTTCTATCACCTTCAATAATGCATCAGTTAGATCTTTAAATATATATAAAAATAAAAAATAAAGCTCATCCTGACATAGTTTACAACTCTCAGTGACCAATCAATGTCTATGCAATGAAGTCACACCTTGATAGCACAAAAGGCCCATCATCAGCCTGTCTTTAGCCTCATGTCTGACCACATATAGTCCACTTCTCCCCACCACTACCATATATTTCTAAAACATGGTGCCATTGTTCATAACTCTTCCCTCTAATCATGTTTTTCTCTTTCCATTTTTATTATCTGTTAAAATTCTTCAATTATTTTTATTTCCTAATAATATTATATTATAAGTAATTATTTGTACATGATTAAGAGTATTTATCTTTTGTTTTTTCTCCTCAGCTCTTGGCATGCAAGGGATGCTCAAAAAGAAAATGCTGAATTCAACTAAAAAATATTCTTGATAAGTTAGTAAAGAACTACATGAGAAATTCAGAGTTTAAGTTACTGAAACATATTCAGTAGCCTACACTTTATCAGAGGAGCTCTGCTGGCACTGTGGTTAAAGCACTGGGCTGCTAACAAAAAGGCAGCAGTCCAAATCCACCAACCACTCCATGGGAGAAACATAAGGCGGTTTGCTTCCCTAAAGATAGACAGCCTTGGAAATCCTATGTAACAGTTCTACTCTGTCCTTTAGGGTTGCTCTGAGTGGGGATCGACTTGATGGCAGTGGGTTTAGTTTTTGTTTTTGATGCTTGTTAAACTGGATTGAATTACTTGGCTTTTCCAGATGAGAACAGTGACAAAGGGGAGAAGGGAGGCTACAGCCGTATCACCAGCACCATAGGCTCATTGGTCTCTACTCCATTTCTGAAAACGCTCTCGGGAAGAAGCTTTTCCTAAAGGTTGAAAAGACTAATAATGCTATTGATGATATTTTTGTAATTCCTTAGCTTCCTCCCAAGATTCTAGATGTATTTTCTTCTGTGCTTAGCTCCAATGTGTGCAGTGATCTCTTTTAAATATACTAGGGCCACCTTGGAGAGAAGAATAAGTATCTGTGGCTCTCAGTTCCTGTATATAATAGAATGGGTTCAACTAGATAATAATATATGACTCAATGTATAATAATACTATTTAACACTATATGATAAATATAGACATATACTATATAATTCAGTATAGTTGTTGTTGTTGTCAGTTGCTGTCAAGTCAGTTCTGATTCATAGCGATTGCAGGTACAAAAGGATGAAAAACTGCCTAGTCCTGCATCAGTCTCACAGTCTTTGTTTGTTTGAGCCCATTGTGGCAGCCACTGTGTCAATCCATCTCACTGAGAATCTTCCTCTTTTTCACTGATGCTATACTTTACCAAGCATGATGACCTCCAGGGACTACACAGGAGCCTTGGTAGTGCAGTGGTTAAAGTGCTGGGCTGCTAACCAAAAGTTCAGTGGTTCAAACTCACCAGCCACTCCATGAGAGAATGATGTGATAGTGTGCTTCCATAAAAGATTTACAGCCTTAGAAACTCTATGGGGGCAATTCAACTTTGTCCTATAGTGTCACTAAGAGTTGGAATCAACTCAATGGTAGTGGGTTTTTGGTTTAACTCAATATATGGTGCTCACATTAATTGAGTGCCTACTCTACAGAATGCACTGTGCTTTATATTTTACCTTAATTCACTTACTTAACCCTCACAGCCCTTGGTTGTGGTACTATTACTATTCCCATCTTACAAGTTTGGAAGCTGAATCTAGGAAGAATTAAGTAACTTGTCCATGGTCGTGTAATTAGTAATTGAGGACTAGATAGTCAGCAAAGTTCACCCCAAAACTACATATCTGTAGAATGGGTTGGCACTTAGTAAATGAAATATTGTAAATAGCTGCCTGCTTGTAAAATTTAGAGAAAATTAAGGTTCTGTTATAAAACCTAAGTAGTCAAGAAATTTGATTAAGGCTGTTCTCTTTTTGTCCTACTTTTGTAGGTTGCAAAAAGAATGACTGACATAGCCAAGAGCGTTGTTGAAATGTCAAGGACCATAGTAGCCATGCTCAATTTAATGATGGAAGGAGGGATGCTTTTTGTTTGTCTGTGTACATCATGTCCAACTTGTTTCCACAGCCTTAGTGGCCTGATGCTTCACATCACTAATGATAGTTCTCAGTGGAACCATGATGCTAGCCAATGTCCAGCTGCACTGAGTGTGATGACAGATGTGTAAATCAGATTACAAGTCCTGTTTATCATCCAACACAAACACTGACCCAAGGAGTTTGCTCTTTATGCTGCACATGCTGAGTGGTCTTAGTCCTTTGTTTTTTATAGGACTGCCTGATCTTAACTGTATTTAAAATTCTCTTTGTGTGTTGGTAAATATAGTTGGCTAGCTGTCTACAGTAATCTATGATTACTCTTGCTGCTTACTTTCAGATTCCTGAATTGAATATCTGGTAGAGCTCAAAATAAAATTGTATTTCTACAAAGTGAATTATCCGGAAGTGCTCCCCTCCAATACATAAATCTTTATATGCCAAAAACTAAATCAAAACCACCACCATCGGATCAATTCCAACTCATAGAAATCCCATAGGATTTTCAAGGCTATAAATCTTTATGGGAACAGACTGCCCTGTCTTTCTCCTCCA